CACCCTTACCTCCTTTTTTTTCTTTCTTTTTTGAGACAGGGTCTCACTTTGTCGCTCAGGCTGGAAAATGCAGTAGGGCAATCACTGCTCACCGTAGCCTTGACCTCCTGGGCTCAAGTGATCCTTCCAACGCAGCCTCCTGAATAGCTGGGATTACCAGCATGCACCACCACACCCAGATAATTTTTTTCATATTTTTTGTGGTCCCACTATGTTGCCCAGGCTGGTCTTGAACTCTTGGGATCAAGCGATCCTCCTGCTTCTGCTACCCAAAGTGCTGAGATTACAGGCGTGAGCCACCATGCCCAGCCTGTTCAAGCTTTGGAAAGTGTGGAGGCGGGGGAGCAGGGCTGGGAAGAGGCTAATGACAGCCTCAGTGGAGCCAGAGGATGTCAGGGACGCTGGTCCTTCACTTAGTCCACGCTATGCCCTTACTGCATTGCCAGGGACAGGGAGGCCCAGAGAGAGCCAGGGGCTCCATAGACACACAGCAGATGCTGGGCATGGCCAGGCACAGATCCTGCCTCTGGACCTGCTGTTCTCCTGTAGAGAAAGGCCCACCGTGGCAGCAGGAGGGAGGGGGAGAAGCAGCATCTGAGGCTCGAGGCAAAAACGGGCCCTGAGGCCGACTGTGCAGCTCAGGTCTGGGCTACAGGCTGGTCTTTGCAGATGCTCCCTGTCCCAGCCTCCATAGCTTGGTACCTTGAGCACTTCCCAGGTGCCCCATGCCCTGTTAGGAGCAAGCCCTGGAAGCTGGGAGGCCCCTGCCAGCCAACACCTTGGATGACAACTAACACCTTAGGTGATATTAACACTTGCACTAACAAGTTAGGAGAGCAGTTTCTGCCCAAGTGGCAGGGGGTGGGGTGGCCTTTGGGGGATAGGGCAATGGAAGGGGGGCATGCCAGCTGACTTTCCTGACACAAGGGTGTCTGGGTATTCAGATGTGCAGCTGCAGCCACAGTGAGCAGGGTGTCAGGTCCCTGACCCACTCTGGCATTGCAGTGTGACTCTAAGGAAGGTCCCTGTCTTTCTGCTCCATGCTCTTGCATGGAGCAGTGTACAGGTTCGGGGAGTCCCTTCTCAGAAAGTAGCTGACAGGGGTTCTTGCCTGCCTAAAACTCCCCCAGGGCTCCTTGCTGCTCCCATGTCTGGGACTGACCCCTCAGCCCTCAGCTGGGCATTCCTAGCTTTGCAAAAACTCTGCTACCACCTCCCTCTACCCCCACTTCATCAGGTCTGCTGAGCTGCAACCGCAGTACCCAGGTCAGGCCTCTGCTCACCTCGCTGTGATGCCCCCTTGCCCATCCTCCTCTTGGAGAACTTGTGCAAAGACCTCCATCCATGCCACATCCAGGAGATGGCGGCATGGGAATTTCAATCCAATTCACATTTTCACACAGACACTTCTCTGCCTGACCTGTTTCTCCCTGTTGGACCATTGGATCATGAATTTGAATTACATCTTATTTCTCTCGATGATCCTGGAATCCAGCATTGGCATGGAGCAAAAAATGCTTTATACTGATATTTATTACTACATGAATGTTTTGTTTATGAATGAATGGGCAAAAGAATGGTGAGAAGCTGGATGGATGAATGATGGCTATGGGTGGTGGTGAGATGGAAGTGAGAATGGTGGACTGAGGTTTATATATATGAGTAGTATAGAATATAACTTAAGGATAGTAGATGAGCACACGGGTGGGTGAATTACTAAGTGGCTGGCTCACTGGTGAGGGAGAAAAACTGGCTGGGTAAGTGATAGTGGATGAATGATGGACGTCATGGTAGAATGAGTATGTGGTGGGTAGAAGATCACTTAATCAACCACCAACTACTTAGATGGTAGATGCATCTATGTAGTTGGCGGTTGATTAAGTGATGAAGAATAGACAAATACATTGTAGATTGATAGATGGAAAATGGATGGATATGGATGCTGAATTGATGGATTGATGGATACCAAATGAATCCATACACAGTGGACATAAACTGCAGACAGTAAGTATTCATAGTAGATTGTGGATGTTTAGTGGGTAGATAAGTCATGGAAGTATGGCTGGATGGCAGATAAATAGAAGTGGATGATTGTGATGGATCTATGCGCCGAGAATGGATGGGCAGATGGTATAGAAATGCCAATGAGTATATGACTGATGAATGGATCACAAGTGGTGGACAAGTAAATGGTGGCTGTCTGGTGCATGAATGGGGACTGGATGCCAAATGAATGAATAACTGCTGGCTGGGTGAATAATGGACTGTGTACTGTGGAGGTATTGATGGAGGGTGGCTGTGGATAGACAACAACTGGATGGAATCTGGATGGATGAATGAAGAATGGGTGTTGAATGGATGGATGAAGGTTAACAGTAGATAGCTACAACTTGGAAAACTGTTGCATGAAAGGTGAACAGTGGGTGTGTAGATGGAGAGATGGTAAATGGATGGTTTAATATACAGATGGAGGAAGATGGATAGATAGCAAGTGGATAGTAAATGGATGATGAATGAAGATGGATGTTGAATGGAGAGAGAATAATGAATGTGGGTGGTGCATGAATAGTGAGTGGATGGATGGTGGGTGGATTGTCATGGCAGATGGAGAATGGTAAATAAATGCTCGCTGCTGTCTCTATATTCTGTCCTCAGCTCCTAGAACAATGTTTGGCACGTAGAAGGCAGTCAATAAATTTTTCTATGAATGGATGCTAGATGGTACTTGGATGGATTTTGGATGAATAGTGAATTATGGCTGGATGATGGGTGGATAGATAGAGGATGTTGTGAGATGGACAATGAATGAGTAGATACGTGGTGGATGTGGATAAGAGGTGGTGATGGTAGGCTGGGTGCGGTGCTCATGCCTGCAATCCCAGCACTTTGGGATGCCAAGGCAGGTGGATCACCTGAGGTCAGGAGTTCAAGACCAGGATGACCAATATGGTGAAACCCCATCTCTACTAAAAATACAAAAATTAGCTAGGCGTGGTGATTGGCACCTATAATCTCAGTTACTTGGGAAGCTGAGGTAAGAAAATTGCTTGAACCTAGAGGTGGAAGTTGCAGTGAGCCGAGATCTCACCATTGCACTCCAGCCTGGGTGACTGAGTGAGACTTGGTCTCAAAACAAAAACAAAAACAAAGAAACAAAAAGAGATGATGATGTTAGATGGTTGGTGGATGAATGGAGGAATGCAGTTCATAGAAATATGAATGAATGAATGGCAAATGGTGAGCAACTGGTGGGTGAATTGTAGATGGGTGAATTGTAGTCGATTGGATGGAGGCTAATGGATAAATTGGGATAAATGAATAGTAAATAGTAGATTGATAATTCACAATTAGATACGTGGATGGAGATGTGAATGGTAGATGTGTTAAATTTTTGATGGAAAGCTGTTTTATAGTGAGTGGTAGATGGATAGGTGGTGGATGGATGCTGAATGAATGTCGGACTGATGGATATTTAGTGATGTAGTGATGCTTGGTAAATGATGGGTGCTGTGGTGAATGGACGAGTGCATGGTGGATGGGTGGTGGTTGGATAGGGGATGGTGCCTGGGGATGGATAGTTAATGGACATTGGATTCTGGACAGTGGTTGAGTGGTGGATGGTGAATGGATGACTGGTGGTTGCATGGGGGAAGGTAGATGGTGGGTTATGGATGGGATGGATGTTGGGTTATTGATGGTGGATGGTGGATTGTGGATGGGATGGACATTGGGCTATTGATGGTAGAAGGTGGATTGTGGACGAGATGGATGTTGGGCTATTGATGGTAGATGGTGGATTATGGACGGGATGGACGTTGGGCTATTGATGGTGGATGGTGGATTGTGGACGAGATGGATGTTGGGTTATTGATGGTGGATGGTGGATTGTGGACGAGATGGACGTTGGGTTATTGATGGTGGATGGTGGATTGTGGACGGGGTGAATGTTGGGTTATTATTGATGGTAGATGGTGGATTGTGGACGAGATGGATGTTGGGTTATTGATGGTGGATGGTGGATTGTGGACGGGATGAATGTTGGGTTACTATCAATGGTGAATTGTGGATGAGATGGATATTGGGTTATTGATGGTAGATGGTAGATTGTGGATGGGATGGATGTTGGGTTATTATTGATGGTAGATGGATTGTGGACGGGATGGATGTTGGGTTATTGATGGTGGATGGTGGATTGTGGACGGGATGAATGTTGGGTTACTATCAATGGTGAATTGTGGATGAGATGGATGTTGGGTTATTGATGGTAGATGGTGGATTGTGGATGGATTGGATGTTGGGTTATTATTGATGGTAGATGGTGGATTGTGGACGGGATGGATGTTGGATTATTAATGGTGCATGATGGATGCCGATGGTGGGTCTCAGATGGTGGTGGGATGGCAAAGATAGATGAACAGCTGTGAATGGTGGCTGGACAGTGGCTGGCCTGTGGATATGGAACAGAAGTGGGATGATAGATTAGTGATGATGGAGGGTTCCCGGTTGCAGGCTGGGAATTACACCCACCATAGATTGTTCACCTTGGTCTCAGGTGTCAGGTCTGCCACTGGACCGAGTGAGACAGCTTGTCCCAGGGCTCTTTTGTTCCTTTTTGGGAATGGAGCTGGAAGTGAAGATGAGAGGAGCGTTGCGGGGTGACCCCCCGTCCTGCGGCCCATTCCAGTTTGGGGGCTTTTTTGTCCATTTTATTCCTCTCTTCTAGTCCCCAGCCCTCTACATGTCTGGCCCCAGTAAATTCTGCACCCCAGATTCCTGGACGCAAATCTTGAGGCTCAGTCTCAGGTGGCCAGGGGCAGGTCCTGGGGGAGGGGTCGGCTCAAGGGAAGACGAGGCCGGGGCTGTACCCGGGGGCTGGCGCTGGGAGGGCGGAGCGAGGGCGGAGCAAGGGCCGTGGCGGCCTCGCGGAGGGCGTGACTGCGAGGTAGGCCGAGAGAGCTAGTGTGGGCGGGGAGCGCGGGGCGGAGGGTGAGCCGGGCGCGCGCGGAGCCCGCGGAGCGCGGAGGTCCCGGCGCCAGCAGCCGCGCGGGCGGTGAGTGTGAGTGAGTGTAGGGTAGGGTCACCCCCTCCCCAGCCTCGCCCCAGCCGTGCGGGGCCCCAGCCGTGCGGGCCCCCAGCGCGAGCGCGCCCTGACGACCAGGTGCGGGGTGGGTGGGAGTGGGAGGAGTCTGGGGGGATTTGGGGAGTTTTGAGTCGAGCTTTCTGCGGAAGGGGAGCGCGTGGGTTGGCGGGGTCAGCCCGGCTGTGGGACGTCATGCTTCTACGGGCTTGTGCCCCTGGGGCCGTGCTCGGCAAGACCTGGGATCCTGGGCGCTGGGGGTGGGGGGCGCCCTGGATGTGCGGTGCCCCGGCTGGCGGTGGACCCTGGCGCTGGGCAGGGCAAAGCAGCCCTTGGGCACTTGCTCCCTGACTGCCTGCCCCGCCCCCATGGCTCAGGGTGACAGCTCTATCATCTGCCTCTGTCATCCCTCTCTCGGCCCAGTGTCATCTGCGGGTCTGTTTCTATCTCTCTCTGTCTTCTGCTCTGTCTCCAGCTCAGTCACCTCTTGCCTGGTCTCTGTGGCAGTGTTTTTCCTGCCTCTCCCTCTGCCTCCTTCCCAAGGCTGGCTGGGTCTCTGTCCTGGCTGCCCTGGACTCTTGGATTCTGGGTCCTGGGATAGGATCCAGGAGAGGCTCGCTGGAGGGCCAGACCTGTGAGCAGCGGGGCACTGAGGCAGCCCGGGTCTCTGGGGTTGGGTGGAGGAGCCAGAGGGTGTGGGTTCGCTGCCCGCAGCCCCGAGAGGCCTCCTGCATGTGTGCCCCTCAGCCTTCCCTGGGCCTCAGTAGGACCACAGCTGACTCGAGCAGGGTGTTTGGTGAAAGAAACCTCACTTCCCAGAATAGCAGCCCTCTGCTTTGCTGACAGCCACAGGACCACCCTCGTCCACCCCAGCAGGGCGTAACAGGTATTCCATTCTGCTGGTCTCTGCTTTTCCACTGCCCAGTCCCCTTCCTGCAGGGCTGTCCCCGGCCCGAGGCCCCTGCTGCCTGCATGCCAGCCACCACCAGACTCCACCCCCATTTCTGCCTCTGACCTGGTCGTGGCCCCAAGGGAGCCCACACAACCTGAGTGCAGGTGAAGGGTCTGCGGCTGGCGCCGACTCCTGGCAGCGGCTCTCTTTCCAGAGTCCTTGCTGCCAGAGCGCCCGCAGGCTCCCTCTGCTGTGGCCAGCCTGCGTGGGCGTGGCCAAGTGCAGGCAGGATGTCAGTTTCCCTGGGGCTGTGGGTGCTGAGGGCCTGGCCCAGGGTGTGCAAGGTGCATGCTCTCGAGGAGGAAATGGGCACCTTGGTCTCTGGCTAACTTGAACCCAGTCTGTACCACTCCCAGCCTCCTGTCTCAGAAACCTGTTTGGACCCCTTGGACGCTCCGTGTCCTTCCTGCACTGTTCCCTGTCTCAGAATGTGCTTCTGTCCTCCCAGCCGGCCTGGCTACCTCCTGCTCATCCCTAAGCCTTCCCAGATCTCCCCTCCTGCCCGTGCCCTCTTGCAGGCACATTGTGTGGCCACGGTCCAGCGCCCCCTCTGGCAGCAGGCTCCAGCAGGGAGCAGCCGATAGAGGTCCAGCTGGAGCCATGGGCACTGGGTCTGGGTGGAGTGGAGTGGGGTGGGCTCAGCGCCTGAAGCCTTCGGAGGAGGGTGGATCCAGCATCAGGCCAGCAGCAGACACCCCATTTCTGCTTCCAGTCCTTGTGCAGCTCAGTGGTGCAGTGGCAGCAGCAGCATGAGTATTCCCCGGCCTGCTCCGCCACAGCCAGGCCCTGCCCAGGGGGCTGGAGGCCCCGAGGGGAAGGTATGTGCTTGGGGCCCTGGGGCTCAGGAGGGAGCCAGCCTCAAACTCTGTCCCATGACTTGGGGCATGCCTTGCCTTGCTGTTGGCCTCAGTTTACACATCTGGGTGGGGGAGGTTGTTGCTTATTTATTTTTGACTCGGAGTCTTGCTCTGTCCCCCAGGCTGGAGTGTAGTGGCATGATCTCGACTTACCGCAACCTCCACTTACCAGGTTCAGGCAATTCTCCTGCCTCAGCCTCCTGAGTAACTAGGATTACAGACGCCCACCACCATGCCTGGCTAATTTTTGATTTTTAGTAGAGATGGGGTTTTTGCCATGTTGGCCAGGCTGGTCTTGACCTCCTGACCTCAGGTGATCCACCCACCTTGGCCTCCCAAAGTGCTGGGATTACAGGCGTGAGCCACTGCCCCCGGCTCGTTGCTCTTTTATAAAAGTATAATGGATAAAACAATTGAAGGCCAGCATTCCTGTCTTACTTAGCACCCTTGCTGATCTGAGGACCCCAGGGATTGCTCTCTGCTGAGAGCAAATGCCAGGGTCGCCTGCCCCTAGCACCACCTTTTCATGGAGGTGTTGATGAAGCTAAAATAACAAGCTCCCTACACAGGGTGGCAGCCTCAGTGCTCCGAGTTCTACAGCCCAGCCATTCTCCTTGTTGGGGAGCAGTGGGGCCAGAGAGGGGGACCAGCCTGGAGTCACGCAGGGACCAGTCTGGAACTTGGGGTTGCAGGCACAGCCTCCCAGGCAGGCAGACAGTGGCGAGCACCAGGCCTCGGAGCAGCAAATTCTGCTGGCCTGGGCCTCGCTCACCCCAGTGGGCAGACGTGGAGACTAGTGCCCTCGGTGGGGCAGGAAGGAGAATGGCACTTGGGGAGTGAGACCAGGCTGGGGAATGAGCCCCTGGGCTGGCAATGCCAGCATGAGGGGTGGTCCCGGGAGGGTCCAGCCTGTGGGGTAGGGGCGGGGGTCCCTGCTCTGCTGTCCTCTGACAGCACCTTCATTCCACAGATGTCCCAGTAACATCTATTCTCACACGTGAGGGTCACCTGTGGTCCTTGGTTCTAAGAGACTGGGCTGGAGCCCAGGGCCATGCACTATTCATACCATTCAGCCAAGTCCTGCTCGTGGCCTGGCTGCCCTTCCTCATGACCCTCATGCTCTTTCGGGAAGGTGGACCCAGCCGCTTTCCTTCTCGGTGAAGAGATGGGAGACAGGGAGCTCCAGGCAGGGGCATCTGCCTGAGCACAGATGTGGAGGTAGGCCAGGGGGGCAAGTCAGGGCCACGGGGCACTGAGGGACGGAGTTCTGCACATAGCACTGCAGCCTTGAAGGCCCTGAATAGGGGGCGGAGATGCTGCGGGCACCGGGAGGGCCTGGGGACGCAGCCCCCGCATGCTCCTGTGGGCACTCAACAACGAGCCAAGAGCAAGCCCAGAGCCAGCCGATCCGGGGTTGCCATGGCAACTGCTTCCCAGCTCCTGTGAGCCCGGAGGAGGCCACAGGCCCAGCAGGGAAGACCCCAGGAAGGGGCTGGGAGGAATCCAGGTGCAGGAGGCAGTGGGGGGTGTGCAGAAGCCTGCGCTCGTTCCTGGTGACCTTAGTGTCTCCGGCCTCAGGCTCTGGCTGTGCAATGGGCTCCAGGGCTGAGCACAGCTGTGTCCTCCGGTGCCTTCTGAGAGCTGTGACTGCAGGGGCTGAGCACCCTACCCCCCAGGTTGGGACCGGGTCGGGGCTGGGAGCCCTCTCGGGGATGTGCCTATGCAAACACATGTGCCTACCCCTGCCCTGGAGACTGAGTGGGAAGGCTCCCTGAGCCCCTAGTGGGGCAGTGCACAGGACAGGGCTGGAAGACAGGAGGAGTGCCAGGCCTGGTATGACCATGATCCTGCTCACCCTCCCTGTAGGCTGTGGCAAGTGCCCAGGAGAAGGGCCCTCGGCTGGGCCAGCGGCTGCCATCAATTGTGGTGGAGCCCAGTGAGGTGGACCCTGTGGAGAGCGGGGAGCTGCGCTGGCCCCCGGAGCGTGCCCAGAGGGGCCCCTCTCAGAGCGGGGCTGCTGCTGGTGAGTGAGGGCGCCTGAGGGGGTGCTGAGAGGAGGAGGAGCCACTGCCAAGGTCAGAAGCAGGGCGTGGGTCCTTCGGCTTCAGCTGGCAAGGCCTTCCCACCTCCTGCCTGTTCTCACCCCGTCCTCCACCGGCCCCTGGAACCCCTGCCTGGGGCCCTAGGTGCTGCCTGGCCTTGACCCCCTCCCTAGCACCGTCCTCCCTCCCACCTGCAAGTGAGGTCCCTCATCCACTCTCAGCCCCAGGCCTGGGCATGGGAGGTGCACGGCGCGTACTTGCTGAATGAGTGACGGCACATTCTCATCCCTTGTCACCCAGTCCTCCCCCGTTGTCATCACCTTTGAAGCAAGTGTGCCTTGCTCACTAGGGCCTGGGAGGCTGTGAGGTGCAGGCGCATGTGCTGGGGGGATGGACTGGCCTGTTGGCAGGCCCCGTCTGGCTGCAGGTGCCCTGTTTAAAGGCTGAAGCAGGCTGGGTGCAGTGGCTCATGCCTGTAATCCCAGCACTTTGGGAGGCTGAGGCGGGCAGATCATTTGAGGTCAGGAGTTCGAGACCAGCCTGGCCAACATGGTGAAACCCCATCTCTACTAAAACAAAAATTAGCCAGGCATGGTGGCAGGCACCTGTAATCCCAGTTACTCGGGAGGCCGAGGCAGGAAAATCGCTTGAACCCTGGAGGTGGAGGTTGCAGTGAGCTGAGGTTGCACCACTGCGCTCCAGCCTGGGTGACAGAGTGAGACTCAGTCTCAAAATAAATAAATAAGTAAAGGCTAAAGCTCCGAGAGGAAGACCACGTGGGCAGGAAGGCACAGCCAGGGCCAGGTCCAAGGCATAGGAGAGGCAGCAGGCTGGGCTGTGGGGGCCTTATGGACGGCTCTGAGGGCCACTTCGGGCAGGGCGAGGGATGTGAGCTGTGCCCTGGGAGATCTTATCCCCTGGAGACCCCTGAGAGTCTGTTCCCTGAGGAGGAAATGAACTCGGCCGTCACTAGAGCTGCTCAGCACCCTGCCTGTCCTCTCCCCATCCCCAGACCTCAGCCTGTACTGGCCAGGAAACCCCTTTCAGAAGGGGTCTGTCTGGACCCATAACCTCCACCTCTGCCCAAAGGCCCCTCAACCTCTTGTCAGTTTCTGCCCAGGCCCCAGGACAGCATCAGAGACCACCCCTTGGGTCAATCCTGGGACTTGGGCTCTGGGAAGGCCCTTGAGTCTGCCCCGGACCTCCATTCCCTCTGCCACCCCTTCCTCTGGTGGATTTGGGAGCTGCTGCTGCTGGCAGAGCCCAGCCCCATTCTACCTCCCTGGCCGAGCACTCCTCCCCTTCTCATCACCCAAGGGGACCTCCTGGCCTGCCCCGGCCCAGCTGCCTGCCAAAGGTTCATCTCGGACCGCTGGGATCCTCTTGGGCTGCAGTCCTCCAACCAACACGGCCGCCTTTATGTTTCTGCAGCCCACTCCCCGAGACCCCTCGGAGAACCAGGGAGACCTGCAGATGATGCTGGCAGCAAGTGTGTCTGCTCTGAGGACCAGGCAGCCCCGGCCCGGGGATAGGACAAGGACGTGGCCAGGGTCTGCTGTCTGACTGCTGAGGGCCTCTGCCACAGGGTGGCTGGGATGGTGCACAGGAGGGCCGGGCCTGCCCCGACACCCTGCAGGCAGAGCCCAGAGGCTGCTTCCTCTCACAGGGTCCGCCAGGACCGCAGCCCTGCCCTCTTCTGCCTGTGGTCCAGGTCTGGATCACACCCCGCTTTGTTCCGTGGTTTGACGTAGAAATAAAGACACTTCCTGATGGCCAGTGGGCACACGTGGTGGGGATGCAGGTGCCTGAGAACAGTTTGGGTTCTGCCCGTGGCCTTCTAGGTGGGGGCCTCAGCTCCCAGCCCAGGCTGGCCAGTCCAGAGCACCTAGTGCGTGACCACTTAGGTGTGGCACTGGGGCAGGCTGGGCAGGGCTGAGCTGGCGCTGTGGCTGGTGCCTCTGCCCAGGGACCCTCTCTCTGCTTTGGCCAAGGCTGCCCAAGGCAGAACCAGCCTCCTCCAGGTGGCCTCCCAACCCTCCGTGGGCCTGCCTTGGGGCCAGGGTGAGACCCTGAAGGCTCTGCTACCTGCTTCCCCTGGGTGCAGGAGGGCACAGCGTGTGGCAGCCTGGCGTGGGCTGCCCCGTTCCCGGTTGGATCTCGTTAAATCCTTGTGAAGGTCCCATTTTACATGTGTAGGAACTGAGGTGCAAAGCGAGGTGCCCGAGGCGAGAGGCTGCCAGGGGAATCCCTGAGGTCAGGAAGCCACCAGGCTGCCACAGAGCCTATGTGGGAGGCTGGGTAAGCAGTCATCTCTTCCTGCCCTATGTGGGGGTCCATCGACATTATCTATGGGCTCTGTTCTACTGCAGAAGGGGAGCCCTGCTGCCTGGTTGCGGCTGGCATGGGGGGCAGAGCCTTGAGCGTGGCCCAGGGCCCACTCCCAGGGTGTGTCCCCCAACCTGGTCCCCTGCCCTTCGCTCATGTGCCAGGCCGAGGAACCTTAGGGCCAGGCAGTGGGACACCATAAATGCCAACTTCACCAAGTCGAAGGTCCGGGCAGGCGTGCCGGGGACCGGGGACCCGTGACCCTGAGCGAGGGAGGCAGGGGGCACTGCCCCTCTGTGCTTTCCTGCTGCCTCGCCAGCCTCCGGGACAAAGATGCACTTTCTCCTACCGCCTTCCTTCTAAAAATAGCCGTCCCTCCCGCAATGCTGGAGAGGTGGGAGACAGGTTCGGAAGCTCGCCTGGCAGCCTGCTTTAGTTTGAAACCTCAGGACCCCGTGGGCCCTGCCTTGGACTATAGCTCAGGCGAGGGGTGGGGCGGGCCTTCGAGGTCCTCTCCGTCCTCCTCCAGCGCTTCCTGCCGGTCCAGGATCGGGGACATGGGGCAGTTTTGTGAATGGGAACAGACATTTCGCAGGAAGCGCTGCGGACACGCGGGGTGTGGGGTCCAGGAGGCCGGCACGTGGGTGGGCTACGAGGCCCTTTACTGAGATTTGATTCCCACCACTCCGCTCCTGGGCGAGAATTACGGTACCCGTCTCAGCGCGGCTGCCCCGGACCCACACCGCGGAGCGGACGAGCTCGGGCGGAGTCCACCACGCCCCGTCCAGCAGGGCTGCCTTCGGGTGGAGGCGACCCCACCACAAGTCCCAGGACCCTGCGTACCCTGGAGCCGTGAGCGGGGAGGCGCGACCGCGGGGCGCTGCTCCACCCGGCCGCCCTCCCCAGCCAGCCGGCGCCGGGACAGCCCAGCCACGCCCAGAGCCCGTGGGCGGAGACGACAGGGGGCGGGGGCCTCGCTGGCCCCGCCCCCGCCCCGCCCCGCCCCCCAGCACGCGACGACTTGGGGGCCCCTGCGGGAGTTACCCTGCAGCTCCCCAGGATGTCGGCTGGGGCTCCCGCCCGGCTCCCACCTCAACCCTGCAATACGGGATTGGGGCAGAGAGGCCTGCTGGGCGCGGCCGGCAGCCTCGTCAGGGCCGGGAGGGAGCCCCGGCTTCTGGTTCTCACGCTGCGCTTCGCGCTGGGTCCTGCAGCACTGAGGGTGGAAGCCGCCGCCTCTGGCCTCTGCATCCCGGGTGGGGCAGCCTGGCCTCCCAGCGACCCCCAGGTCATGCAGGCTTCTGGTGGTGAGGGGCTTGCTCCCTGGCCTTCCCTACCTGGGAGCCAGGTCGTCAGCCAAGGCGAACCCACTTGATCCCGACGACAATCCCATTTTCTGGGGGAGTACCTACCCTGCCTTCTCCTGACCCCGGATCAACCCTGTGCCCTAGGGTTCTCTGAGACAAGGCTGGGGCTTTTCCAAAGGGATTTTACTGAGAAATTTGGGGGAAAACATGGACATAGAATGAAAGAAACATTGCAACCTTAGCTGAAAAGTGGGCACAGGCTCAGGTGGCCTTAGGGTGCAGATAGAGGTTGAGGGGATGTCCAGGAGCAGTCCCCAGGCCCTGGCCCCACCAGATTTTCAGGCACCTATGTGTTGAATGAAGTGACCAGTAATTGGAGGTCCTGGGACCCCGACATGCCCTGTGAGCTATGGGGTGGGAGAATCAGACCGGGAAGTCTTCAGTCCACCAGGGCCTGGCTCCATGGGAAGACCCAGTGCACAGAGCCAGAGGCATCGGGTGCAGTCCTGGCCTCTCTGGCCAGCTGTGTGGCGGTGAGCAGGTCACTGAGCCCCGGGAAGCCCTCCACCTTGGCCGGGCTGTCTCTGTTCAGTTATGCTTATTCCCTGTCACCCCTCATCTCTGCCTGTTGGAGACAGGTGGCGTGAGACTCAAGCCAGCAGGTGGGACTGGGCTGGGAGGAAGGGCCTATGGACTGCTGGGCATCTCTCGGGCTTGAACTGGGACTCTTAGCATCCCACTTCACAGAGGGAACCCAGGGCTCAGAGGGTAGTGACTCAAGTGGTTAATTGGTGGGCTTCCTGGAGGAGGTGCTGGCATCTTTGAGTCTAATCTGACCCCTCTGCAGATGCTGCTGCAGCATCTCAGGCACCTTCCAGTCTGTTATGTGCTGTTTTTCCCTGAAAAAATTCATATGTTGGGCTGGGCACGGTGGCTTGCCCCTGTAATCCAAGCACTTTGGGAGGGTAAGGTGGGCGGATCACCTGAGGTCGGGAGTTTGAGACCACCCTGACTAACATGGTGAAGCATGTCTCTACTAAAAATACGAAAACTAGCTGGGATTAGTGGTGGGCGCCTGTAATCCCAGCTACTTGGGAGGCTGAGGCAGGAGAATAGCTTGAAACTGGGAGGCACAGGTTGCAGTGAGCTGAGATTGTGCCACTGCACTCCAGCCCAGGTGGCAGAGTGACTAGGTCTAAAAAAAAAATTAGCCGGGCATGGTCATGGGTGCCTGTAGTCCCAGCTACTTGGGAGGCTGAGGCAGGAGAATGGCTTGAACCCAGGAGGTGGAGGTTGCGGTGAGCCTAGATCACACCACTGCACTCCAGCCTCGGTGACAGAGAGATTCTGTCTCCAAAAAAAAAAAAAAAAAAAAAAAAAAAATTATGTGTTGAAGTCCCAACCTGAGAATGTGACTTTATTTGGAAAATTCCTTATAAAAATGCTTATTACCTTTAAAGAGGTAATACGTTGAAATTAAGTCACTAGGGTGGAGCCTAACCCATATGAAGAGGAAATATAGACACAGACATGAAGAGGGAAGACCCTGTGAAGACCTGGGAAGAAGAGGGCCACCTACAGCCTAGAAGAGAGCCCCGGGAGAAGCCTTGCTGCAGACCTCTGGCTTCCAGAACTCGCAGAGAATGAATGTCTGTCATTGAGGCTCAGTCCCTGGTCCTGCTGTGGCAGCCCTAGGACGCTGGGTGCACGGGGACATCCCTGCCCTGAGTCCTAGGATGCTGGAGCACAGGGCTGTCTCTGCCCTGAGCCCTAGGACTCTGGAGCACAGGGCCGTCTCTGCCCTGAGCCCTAGGACACTGGGTGCATGGGGCCATCCCTGCCCTGAGCCCTAGGACACTGGAGCACGGGGCCACCCCTGCCCTGAGTCCCAGGATGCTGGAGCACAGGGCCATCTCTGCCCTCAGCCCTAGGACGCTGGGTGCACGGGGCCACCCCTGCCCTCAGCTGGAGGATGCTGGTGCAGGAGGCTTTTTCTGCCCACGTCAGCACCCTGCAGCGGCCCTGTCACATACCCTGGTGGCCCCAGCCCAGGTTGAAACAGGTCTGGATCTGTTCTCCTTGGATTTTCCCTGATTTCTTTCCTAAGACGCCGGCTGCGGAATCCCCCTGTGCAGGGGTGAGGCTGCCTCTTCTGGGAAGTGTCAGTGGCCCTCCCCACAGCAGTTTGCCCACCTGACTCCTGTGTGGGCAGTGGGCCCCACCTCCACACCTTTGCCCCTGCCCAGGATGCTGTCCCTGCTCACTCCTGAGTGTGCCCCGTCTGTCCCCAGGGCCCTGTCCCTTACTCTAGCTCCTGAAGCCCCAGGGAACGGCACATGGCTCTCAACATGAGCGTCCCTGATGGGGGGTGCAGGATCTCGGGATGAACTCGATGAGCTGGCCTGTTCTCCTGCGTTAGCCTCCTGAGTAGCTGGGATTCTAGGCACCTACCACTACACCCGACTAATTTTTTTTTTTTTTTTTGTATTTTTGGTGGAGACGGGGTTTCACCATCTTGGCCAGGCTGGTCTCGAACTCCTGACCCCGTGATCCAGTAGTCTCAGCCTCCCAAGTTATGGGATTACAGGTGGGAGCCACTGAACCCGGCTGAGTGATCCCATTTCTTAATCAGTGTAGCCCCAGGAAGGCTGGGGCTATTTACCAGGGTAGAAAAAGGAGCCTACCTCCCGCCTTTGGTCCTAAGTTCCTGCCCCCTCCCCTTCACACCATAACTAGGTAACAGTTTGATAACTAGAGAAGAAAGCAGAACAGTTGAGCAGCTGCCACATCCCCGCCAGTTGGGGCCTCACTCCAGGAAGGGGCCAGACTGACCCTCCTTTCTGCTGTGGTGAGGAAGCTCCAGTCCTGCTGTCTGCCCAGCCCATCCTGCCTCCATGCTCCCTCTGGAGGCCTCTGGGCCTCCTCTAACGGGGGCTGGTGGGCACCAAGAACCAATGGAGTAGAGCCCTGGCTGGTAAGGGCCAAGTACCACCAGCTGCTTCTGGGAAGGGGTTTCTAATACTGGTCCATGTGCTATGGTTCCTGGGGTGCCCCCTCCACTGTCCTCACTTCAGTAACTGGGCCTTGCTAATCGGGTTGTCACTCAACAAAAGTGCTTTGGATTTAAGTTACTATCC